GGGGGAGTCTGAGTAATCCGGTGTTCAGCCTTGTGGTTGGGTAGAAGGATCTCTTTGGGGGATCCTAGATGTCTAGGCAAACTCCTAATTCATAGAACCTTGTTGTAATTTTGCATGTTATGTTACCCAATTTGTCCTATGTATGGTTGATTGGTTGATAGAAGATATGGGGATGTGTGTGTTTTTACTGGGCATTCCAAGCTCATGGCGTGTCATGCCAGGTGGTGAAGCAGTTATAATGATGAAAGTTATTGCAAAGGCAAATACGATGAAGTGTTGGAGCGGTGGTTCATTTGAAGACTTAGACTGGTTGTTTTTGTTTTCAATGTTTTGTAATCCTGCAATGGAAAATAAACGAATGATCCGTGATACTAACTCTGGTTATATATGTATATTAAGATGTTTTGGTTATCTATCCTATTTGTGTGGTAATATTGTACTTATTTAACGGCCTGGAAGTTGGGGCGTTACAGAATGGTATCAGAGCTTAGGTTCAACCCTTACCCACGTGTTCTGACTTCAAACGATTTGACGATCACCTGAGAAGGGAAGTGGTTTTAACGTTGAATAGGGCAACGTGTTGAGCATTAGATACAATATAGGAGTAGGGGATACTATTAGTTCTACGAGTCTTCTATTGATCGTCATACCCTCATCTCATATTTGTAACCTTGTTTGATGTCGTTCATTTTCAAGATTAAGTCATTACCATCTGGTCTTACTTTATATTTTTCAATTCTACCGTTCGCTAGATTGATAACCTTGAGCCTTGATTATGCAATCTTGTATGAGAATCTTTCTGAAAGTTGCAATTTCTTTGTTCAGTGACGAATCTTGGATATTCAGTTTGAACTGCGGATGGCTGACGCAGTTTCAAGTTAAATATCTAACTGAGTCACTACCTCTATACCCTTGACCACATAAAAGTCTTAAACCATAATCCATCCGTATTTCTGATGATCCTTGTAGTAATTGATGCAATTACTATAACCACTTCATATTTTCCATCTCCACTTTGTATTCCTTTTATTAATCCAGTTTTAAAAGTCTTGTGGTTATTATTTTGCCTATAAATGTATATATATGGATGAGAAGTTGTGTTGTGTGCTTCCCTATATTCGTTATTTATTACTTGATCTTATTGCTTTAAACACCGTAGGATAATTAAACCATAACTTTAAGATTAGCTTATTACCCTAGGGAATTGTCTCCATTAATAGGCTCTAACTTATACTTTACCCGTTCTATGCACAAAAAGAAAGAAAAAAATAAATAAATAAATAATGAACCACATTCGAGCCAACGGCTACACCGAGACAAGCGATAACATATGAGCTCGCGAGCAGTAGCGCAACAAGAATGAAGTATCATGTAATTGAAACCTTAAGAATGGACCAATACCCGCGGCTAAAATCTTTAGCCACATTGGAAACCAAATTCTGGAACAATTGGGTCAATTGAGGAAAAAAAAAAAAGTTCGAATGGGGGCTGGACCCTACTATCAGAGGAAGAGGACAAAGACCCGTTAGTAATTAGAGGCAACATTGTACTCTATAATTCTTGGATTCACGCTCTATTTGATTATGGTGCACCATTTTCTTTTAAAAAAAAAACACCATGTGATAAATCGTTAGGTCTTGAATGTGAACATTTAAAAACTACTTCAAGTATCGCATCACCTTTGAGAGAAAGTGTCAGTGCGAATTAGAAGTGTCAGGTTTACACTTGATTTGCGACCTTGTGGTCATGGACATGTTCGATTTTGACATAATCTTAGGTATGGAGTGGCTATCTGCCCACTGAACGGTGATTGATTGCTACCAGAAAATGGTGACGACTTACTCACTTGACGGGAGGTGTTTCCAATTTAAGGGGGATAGAGAGGAGTCTCTGAGCATGACAAATCATAAGATGCGATGGCATAATCAACTTGCTAGGTGTTCTGGTTAAAGGAAGTCAAATTTTCGGGACACGTAGTGTCTGAGCATGGGATTGCAGTGGACCCGGCCAAGGTAGAAGTAGTATTAGATTGGAAATAGCCAACCGTAGTAATTGAAGTTCGTAGTTTCTTAGGACTGGCCGGTTATTATCGACGGTTTATTCAAGACTTTTCCGAACTGGCCAAGCCGATGACTCGTCCAATGCAAAAAAGGGTAAAATATGATTGGAATGAAGCATCGCATGTGAACGATCCTTTCAAGAACTCAAGAGGAGATTGACTAATGTCCCAATACTCATCATTCCGAAGTGAGACGTTAGTGTTCGCAGTACACCAAGGAGGGACAAAAATGTACCAAAGACTTACAACGCCACTACTGGTGGAACGGAATACAAAAAGATGTGGCTCAATCCGTAGCTAGATGCCTTACATGTCAGCAAGTAAAGGCGGAACACCAGTGACCTGGAGGGATGCTTCAGCCCTTGCCAATATCAGAAAGGAAATGGGAGCATGTAACAACAGACTAACCAGGTCACCTAGAGGACATGATGCTATATGGGTTATAGTTGATCGTGTAACGAAAACGACACACTTTTTGCCGTATAAAATTTCAAACACTTTGACATCACTGAGTCATCTCTAATAAAAAACAAAAAAAATTCTGACTACACGGAGTTCCTGTATCAATTGTGTCAGACCGAGACCCGCGTTTCACCTCTCGATTCTAAGAAAGCCTACAAGAAGCATTGGGAACTGAATTATGCTTTAGGACCACCTTCCATCCTCAAATTGATGGACAATCGGAACGCACCATTCAAACTTTGGAGGACATATTGAGAGCTTGTGTGATGGATTTCAAAGGGAGTTGGCAGTGACACCTACTGTTGGTGGAGTTCACATACAACGACAGTTTCCAGGCTAGCATTGGCATGGCTCCATTCGAAGCACTGTATGTTCGGCCTTGCAGATCACTAGTTTGTTGGACTGAAGTTGGAGAAATGAGTCTATTGGGCCCAGAGATCGTGCAAGAAACTACAGAAAAGGTAAAACTTATTCGACAAAGATTAGTGGTAGCTCAAGATCGTCAAAAGAGTTATGCAGATAAAAGGAGAAGGCCTCTAACTTTCGCTGTCGGTGATGATGATTATGTTTTCTTAAAAAATAAAATAAAAAAATAAAATAAAATAAAATAAAAATTAGCCCTGCTGAGGTATCATTTGTTTTGGAAAGAAAGGAAAATTATTGCCTTGATATATCGGACCCTTCGAGATACTTTAGAAAATTGGAAAGGTTGCGTACAAATTGGCTCTACCCCCGCAATTGGTTGGAGTACATGATGTTTCTCACATATCTATGCTGCGAAAGTACATAATGCACCTTTCTCACATCATCAACTAGGAAGAAATCCAACTTAACAAAAACGTCAGCTTTGAGGAGGGACCAGTAGCAATTACGGACAAACAAGAAAAGAACTTGCGAGGAAAACTAATTCAACTTCTTAAGATACTCTAGCGTCACTATGATATTGAAGAGTTCACTTAGAAATGTGAAGACGCGGTGTGGGCAAATTATTCACAACTATTTGAGACGTGACGTACGATTTAATTTCGAGGACGAAATTTATTTAAGGGGGGTAGGTTGTAGAGACCCTAATTTTTGGTAATTACACTTGATACCCTAAGCCTTAGGTTAATTACATTTTAATCCCAAATTTTATAAAATTTTACAAAATGGTCCAAGAAAGAATTATTTTTCTGTATTTTATTTTGTATGAAAAGTAAATTGAATAAAAATGGAAGTTGAATAAAAATAAAAGTGAAAGTTGCATAAAATTAAAAATGGAAGTTCAATCCAGAAACCACTGTACGTTAACGATCTATTTGGAAATTAAAAAAAAAAAAAAAAAAAGAAAAAGGAGAAAAAAGGATGGATAAAAAGGAGAAGGCCTCTAACTTTCGCTGTCGGTGATGATGATTATGTTTTCTTAAAAAAATAAAATAAAAAAATAAATAAAAATAAAATAAAAATTAGCCCTGCTGAGGTATCATTTGTTTTGGAAAGAAAGGAAAATTATTGCCTTGATATATCGGACCCTTCGAGATACTTTAGAAAATTGGAAAGGTTGCGTACAAATTGGCTCTACCCCCGCAATTGGTTGGAGTACATGATGTTTCTCACATATCTATGCTGCGAAAGTACATAATGCACCTTTCTCACATCATCAAACTAGGAAGAAATCCAACTTAACAAAAACGTCAGCTTTGAGGAGGGACCAGTAGCAATTACGGACAAACAAGAAAAGAACTTGCGAGGAAAACTAATTCAACTTCTTAAGATACTCTAGCGTCACTATGATATTGAAGAGTTCACTTAGAAATGTGAAGACGCGGTGTGGGCAAATTATTCACAACTATTTGAGACATGACGTACGATTTAATTTCGAGGACGAAATTTATTTAAGGGGGGTAGGTTGTAGAGACCCTAATTTTTGGTAATTACACTTGATACCCTAAGCCTTAGGCTAATTACATTTTAATCCCAAATTTTATAAAATTTTACAAAATGGTCCAAGAAAGAATTATTTTTTGTATTTTATTTTGTATTTATAATTAAATCATAGAATGCCATTTTATATTTGGAAATACCCTAACACTTGGCTTTTATTTATGTACTCCTAGTTTCTAAATTAATTCATCAAATTTATTTTTTAGCCTAATTGAATATTTATTAGTTCTTTGAATTTTTATTATTTTCTTTGAACCTTTATTATTTAATTGAGCAAATAAATATGTTTAAATAAATATCTACACATATCTTTAAATAAATAGTTTTATTATTTATTTTAATACTTATTTGAGCAATGGAAAAATATCTAGATTTTTATGCTTTTTCTTAGTCATTAAGCTAGCCCTATTTCATGGCTTATAAATTGAGAACTTTGTCTCAATTTTAACCACACTTTTCAACAGCCTAGGGAGAGGGTGAGAGGGTGAAAGTGTGATCAAAGGAAGTAGAGAGAAGAAGAAGAAGAAGAAG